CCCCCCACAAAAACAAACATTTTCCCACTCGGGAATCAAACTTACGCACCAATAGGAGATGCTCCAGCTAAAACTGACGCTTGAAGTTACTTTGTTTATGGTGTATCTGTTACTCTTTTTAGTTTTTGTTCGAGTTGTACGGAATTTGCTGCACAATTAAGTCATATAAATGCCGAAGGTTACAGGTTAGGGATGTAACTAGAGAGTTCCATACACAAAAAAGAAAAAGGAGAGATAAGGACGATAAGATGTTTGATAGGAGAGAAGAAGCAAAAAACACCAAAGCACTCGGCAACTATCCTCACTTTCTGTTACTCTGGAAGCCATCCATTGTCTAGACACCAGGTACGAGAGGGGTTTCAGATTGCATGTATATTTACCACTATTGTTAGACATTAAGACGAGTTTGTGTTTCGTATTCTGCAGACCCCCTACGATCTTCTTGACTCTGTAACTGTGGGATTTTTGAATGTATATAGTATATTATTTTCATAGCGTGAGGTAAAGTGTGTTCTTAAAACCCTTAAAAAGATTTCACTAAGCCCGAAGCAGACACATTTTAGATAACATAGTATTATATCGAAAATACATACTCGTAAAATTAAAAAAAAGAAAGTGGTGACTGACGGTTGGCCTGTTGTTGTTTTCTCCTCATCTCCTATCAAACATACTTTTCTATCTCTCTTCTTATCTTTTCTTTACATTATGTATATAGTAACGCATCTAATCTTCGGCACTCATATGCCCTATTTGTGTAGCAAGTGCCCTAAAACTTACTGAAACTAAAAATAACAATTGGTTCCGTGCAAACAATTATATTATTATATTTCTGTATCAACTTAACACCCCTTTGACTCTGCAGAATCGACATCAAAGTTTAGTTTAGTTTTTGTTAGAGTTTACGGCACTTACAACACAATAAGGTCATATAAGTGCTGAAAATTAGAGGTGTTGTAAGAGAGTAACAACACAAAAAAAGAAGGAGGAGAGATCAGGACGACAGATGTTTGATAGGAAAGAAAGAGCAAACCACATCAGAGCACCCGCCAAACACCCACGATCAAAGTTTGTTTCATAAACGTGTTTGTTTGATAGGAGAGAAGAAGTTTTTTGTTTTTATTAGAGCGCTTTGCATCCACCTCATCCTGCGGGCATGTTAAGGCTGTTCTGAAATAGAAACCAGCTTAAGTTTCGCAAGCTTTTGTTGTGTTATCAAGAAGCCAAGAATATATTTGGAAATGTGAGAAAAATGTTTTATTCTGTAAGTGCATGTGCGTATTTAAACTTCCATTTTGTACTAAAAAGACAAACGCACCCAAAAGGGAATAAACGCATTCACGTACATAAACAAATAAACAAACAAACATACAAATTCATGTAATGCACACACATGCATGCTCGCACAAGTTAATACACACACAAACACACACACACACACACACACACACACACACACACACACACACACACACACACACAACACACACACCAATCCTGCCTGTAGAGATTGAAATTTGCACAAAATCAAGCCAACACTCACAGACACAAGCATGTAGTGCACTGACATCATGAAATACAAACTTTACATAATAATATTTTTTATTAATGTTGCATGTCAGTCACTCACAAGTATGGTCGTTCTTGGAATTATAGTTTGAGTTCTGAATAATATAAAAAATATAACATATCTAGAGAGAAATAAAACAGATCGCGACAGAATAAAAATCTCTTTGCGTTTCACATCGGTATACTATTAGTATGGCACACATAGTCTTGCTTTGGCATAAGTTGAACCGGTGTCGGCGTTGTATCGGCTCCTCGCTGTGCGTACAGAAAATTGAGTTCGACTTCCTCATAGGGAAGCCTATTTATTTATTAAGGAGTACAAGGTGTGTCTGAGAAGTTAGTTTCTTTATTCTGTAATATCAACACTTTTTATTTTACAGACATGAAATTTTCTCCATACCTACAGAAACATGTTTTCTCTTCATTATAATAACCGTCGATCTAAATGCATTTTTTTATCCCACGCAGCCAGTGGTCAAAGACAGTGACCATGTCCATTTCTGCCAGAGTCCTTTGCGCAGCATTTATTGTTTCGAGCAGAGTTTCGTCTTCGATTTCAAATCTCTACCCCCACCCCCCTCCCTAGGCCATATTTGACTGTGGGGAAGAAATAAAAGTCACATGAAATAAAGGGACAAATGACATTTTGAAGAATCATAACTGGTGATGAAGCACGATTGCACACGTGGGATCCAGAACTGAAAAAACAAACAGCAGAATGGTGAAATCCAGGATCGCCACGATCCCAGAAAGCTCGACCCAAGCTCGGTGCTTTGACTTTGAAAATGATGCACATCATGTTTTTCGATCGCAAAGGTGTGGTTTTGAACTGATTAATTCCTGTTGACTATTACAAGATAGTTTTTCAAACAAAGCTGAGATCAGCAATCAAAAGAAAGCGACCGGGTCCGTTTGTGCAAGGTTTTGTTTTCCATCATGAAAACATACCTGTGCACACAATTAATTCAAAAGGTCACCGATCTCCTGGACTCCTGGAAGTGGGAAATCCTTGAACATCAACGTTGTTCCCCAGACTTCGCACCATGCGACTTTCATTTCGTTTGAAGACGAGGAAGAAATTATGACAAAAAGAAATGCTCCTTTAAGGACTCTGACCGAAGTGAACATGGCCACTGCTTTTGACCATAAGCTCCATCGAATGAAAAAGTACAATGAGGCCAACGGTTGTTATGTTGAATTGAAAACATGTTACTGTAGGTAAATACAAAATTTCAAATCTGTACAATAAATAAAAGTTGATTTTTACTGAACAGGGAAATTCACTTCCGGGACAGATCTCGTATTTTTTCATCTTTCTCCTGGGATTCTGTATCCCATCCAGCCCTCAGCTGACCCTGCCAGGCCGAGCCAAACCAGCCCGCCCCTAACGGTTGTCAACAGTGGGTTAAAACATAAGCATTGTAATATAAAATCACAATTAAATTAAATAAGTGAGGATGGGCCAAGGCCGGGAACCCAATCAACAGATCAACACGAAGACAGAGAGGTGTAAAAATGCATGATAAAACACACACACACACACACACACACACACACACACACACACACACACACACACACACACACACACACACACGGTGAGTACGGAGAACATGTATCACGACACAGTGGAATCAGGCGCTTATCAATTTTGGAGCATATTGAGTTATTGCTATAATCTTAAAGTTCCTTCATTTACCTTGCTTTTGGTGACAAAAATACACATCTGTCTTGAAAAGAAGTCAAAGTATTTGCTTTTTATATAGGTGGGGGTAACTTAAGATGTCTGAGGTAAATTTAGCTAGAAAAAATGGCTGCCAAAGTTTGGTGACTTCAAAAACTTTTTCCTTAAAAATTGCAAATTTACTTTTCGAGCATTTGATTTTTTTTTCTTTTTAGTAAAATCCACTCTTAGATGTGTTTTAATGGGCATAGAGGGGGAGGACCCCCCCCCCCCCCCCCCCAAAGAAACCGATAGAAATTGTCGAACAAACGGTGAAATATTGGTTTCTTCCATTTCATTACTCTGACCAGCACCTGATTTCACCATGGTTTTTCACACAAAACTATGTCACCCCCCCCCCCCCATTTTTCCCCTCCTCCTAACGATTGAAACATCATCAAAAGGTCAACGTCTGAGAAAAGCGACCGGGGATTATATCTTACAACGGTGAGACAATGGAGCATGTATATCAACCCCATCATCTCTGGGTATGGATTACAATGTCTTATAGCAAAATAGGAGTTTATCTTTTCTATCGCTGAGTTTCGTACAGTACCCAGTCAAGGACAACACACACTCTCATACAATGCATTTTTTAATATAATGCACGCTAAAGTAGATTACGGATACAGTACACTGGCATACGATACACACACACACACACACACACACACACACACACACACACACACAATTACACACACACACACACACACACACAGATAGACAAACTTACGCATTCGCACGCACAAGCACACATGGATGTACACACACATACACACATGTACATGTATAAACATTAAGCACATGCACCTACACACATAATACAAACATACGCACACGTGCGTACACGGTGGCAGACACGCTCACAATACACACGCACACTGGCATTGACATGTACACAGTGAACGTGCTAGAAGTCACACCATGCTCGTGTATCCTCCAGCCGTGTATAAATTATGTGTACAAAATTATGTTCTAAAATTCATTTAAAAAGTCCGCCACGCGCAACTAAAAAAATAACGTATGAAAATCTGAAACTAAAGGAACAAGAGCCAACACAGGGATTTCTAACAGTGTCAAAAGTGTACTACTCAATGGATCAGAAACATGGGAACTTCCAAAGCAAAAGTTTAAAAAAACTACGGCAACAGTTGTTTTAAAAGTTCAGAACATTCTTTTTAAAAATTCATTGGCCTGACACCATAAGAAATGATCAATCACTGGGGATAAGAAATCTTCCAAAAATAGATAGAAGTCAGAATAAGAAAATGGAAGTGATTAAACATACCTTGAAAAAAATTCGAAAACAAACATCACCCACCAAGCCTTAAAATGGAACCCGCAAAGAAAGAGAAAGAGAGACATGCCTAAAACACTCAGAGAAGAGACTTGGAATTTGATCTAAAAGAAATGGGGCATAGCTTACAGAGGTAGAGACAACAGCCAAGGGCGAAAGTAGATGGAGAGCTCTTGTTGGTGACCTATATCAAGGCAGTTGGTGAGATTGGCTGATGATGAGTCCGTTTGGTGGAAGTCCGAAGTTCGAAATAAAATCTGTGTGCATTGTCTGCGCCATTCTAGATTATTATTAATTCCTCGCAACCCTACGTCCTGACAGGGGGCCTCAATGGTATTCCACCTTCGAAATGGCCTACTGAGTGTCTAGTATGCCCTTGCAATTAAAGGTTATCATCGACGACAAAAACTATAACAGCAAAAGAAATTACAGCAACACCAAACAAGAATAACAAAAGAAAACACCCGGGAAAAGTCTTCTGGAGACCACCATTCAATACTTACTCGACCTTTAAAGCACATCCAGGGTCTCCACGCTCTGTGAGGCCACATCTGCATCGCCGTGACGTCATATGGGGAACTATATTTTACTTTATTAAAAAATGGGGGTGGGAAGAGGAAGAGGGGGCCTCAAGTAGACCTTCACCACTACAAGAACAATTAATTAAAAGACCATAATAAGTTATCTCACTGTTGTTGCTGTCTAACCAAGGACAGGGACGTCTAGCTGGACGCATGGCAGACTAGGTTCTGAAAATGTTCTTATTAAAAACATTTATGGCTTTGTACTTAGTTTCTAAAAAGAGAGGATCCATAATTCAAAGGGAAAGAACTCGGTGATCTTCGGATCAATTTAAACAAAACTTCGAATATATAAAACTGAACCAGGGGGACGTCATACCTGTTGATATTTATGAAGAAAATTAACTATCGTGTTCGAAAAAAGTAAAATTTTAAAAATTTAAACCAAAACTGTATGAAACGAAATACTTTGCTACTTCTTCTAAATCAATCATCTTGTTCTTTTTTAAACAGCCACTGTTTGTGTGTTGAAGAAGACATTTATACAAAATAAATGCATGTATTGCAAATTAAACTCAGGGAAGGTGGTGACTATTAAAATTGCATTCTCCAGGTGTTGACCATATCTCTCCTTACAAGTGCCACTGGAAGTGTTTCTGGGTCAGTTCTTTGAACTTTTTATTCAATTGTGACTTTCTACTGATTAATTGTCTGAAGATTGTTTCCGTAGACTATGTTTCTCAAAAAGCCCCAAAGTAAATAATTTAAGAGGTTCAAGTCGGGCCGTGAGGGGGAATGCGGTGAACATTCATTTATAAGCTTTCAGATTTTACTTTCAGGCTTTCCCCAAATCTTTCCTGCAACCATACAAGGTCCACTCTTGACGTTTTGGAACCAGGCCTCCGTAAAGGCATAAAACGTTCTCTTTCCCGAACGTCTCCTAAACGTTCTCAGCGTGTTGAGATGCTCGTTTGATGTGACTGCCGTGGTTTAACCGTTCTCATAAATCCTGAAACCAGACGGGACTGGTCAAACTCAAACCCTTGCAGCTGAATACTTTAAAATGTAAAGTTTTACGTTTTGCCAGAGTTTAATTGAAACTTTTACACTTGATTTTTCTCAAACTTGCTCACTCATTTTCTTCATATTTATAAACTTGACTGACTGATCATGACCGTGCCAAGCTGTCTTCCTTTCATACAACCAGCTTATGCCAGATCCTCAGAATCATCTGGCCCGACAAGATTTCCAACGCAGATCTGTTACGTAAATGTAGGCAAGAGGACATGACCACCATAATAAAAAGGAGAAAATGGAGATGGATTGGACATGTTCTGAGAAGAGAACCAGACTCTATTGTGAAGACTGCCCTCCACTGGACACCCGAAGGACGTCGCAAAAGGGGCAGACCCAAAGAGACCTGGAGACGCACAGTAGAGTCTGAAATGAAGTCCTGGAATCATTCGTGGGGAACGCTGACTAAGATGGCACAAAACAGACAGAGCTAGAGATCCTTTGTTGCTGCCTAAACGCCAGATGGCGTAATGGGTAGTAAGTAAGTAAGTAAATACTTGACGTCCACCTGGTTGAATCTTATTTGTTCGAGATTATGTTGAAGTAAATGCAGAGATGACCGGGTTATTACACTAAACGTGGGTCATTTTGGGGCACTCTGTATAAGGAAAACAACAGGAATGGTGAATGCCTTACATTGATATTTCATCTGTTTAAGGGACTAAGCAGCAATCTTTTTTAAAAATGGTATGAGCTTTTCGGCGATACAAATATGGACAGCTTTAAAACTTCAACCCCCCCCCCCCCCCCCGCCCCCTGAAACTACGGACCAAGGAGAATGAACATTTAGAGTGACCTTTCGGGTAAGTTTGGTTTCTTATAGAGTGCGTTCCAGCTTTGCTTTGACTTCCACAATCTCAGCTTTCTTGCTGTTTACGTGTGCAAATTGCCATTTCTTACTTTCTTAATGAAGTCATGAGACCCATCACACTCAAGGGCATGTCCTGTTGAAGTTTCCCCATCAAGATTAGAACATGTGGAACAAATATAACAATGTATTTTTGTACGTCTGCTTGTTGTTTGGTCCAGTTGATAACCAACTACAGCACGGTATGTGATAACAATATTTTCAAGGAACGTCACTGTGTTTTTGACTTATGCGATGCTGCTTTAAAGACACTTTTCAAAAGCTTTACAAAAATCTTTAGGACAAAATACAACACAAAAAGAGCGCAGAGGATGATCAGAGCAATCGCAGCGAGAACATCCAAACAGTAAAACTGATACCCTTGCAAATCCTGACCCGCATAACGCATATGAGAGCCGCCATATTTAATCACATGATCCAACCAGAACGCTGCTCTCTCCTTAGGCAATCCGTATATGTCTTTAAAAATCTGCGACGCCTTTTGAATGTTGTTCGAATAGCTGGCATTGTAGTAGAGTTCGTTGATCATTGTAACCAGGTCATCCTCCGACATAGCCCTGACGTCAGACGTTAGGCCATATCCTCGGGAGCTGTACGAAAAAACATAACAAGTAAGATACTAACTTAAAGACGTAGCACAAAGACTTACCATAAAATACTTATTTCGTCAATAACACCCCCCCCCCCCCCCATTTTTTTTACTTCCCCAAGGAGAATCACGTCTTTATGATCAAAATGGGATATAGACCCAAAAAAAGCCCGCAACTATGATATAATGGTATGCTTTAACTCCCCTTTAAACATAGATAGGTTATTGAAGGTATAGAACTGCAATGGCTAAGGCTAGTTTCAATAAAATGAGCCCAATCCTGAAAAATAGAAACATATCAATGAACACCAAAATGAAAGTCCTGAAATGCTATGTTTGGTCAACCCTTCTATATGGCTGTGAATGCTGGACAATCACTAAAGACAGTGAAAATAAAATAGAGGCAACAGAAATGTGGTTTCTTAGGAGACTGCAAAGAGTATCGTGGAAGGAAAAGAAATCAAATGAGTTAGTGCTTGATGAAGCCCACGTGGGACGCTCAATGTTAAAAGCAATCAGGAAACGACAAATGCAGTTTTTGGGACACCTGAATAGACATAAAGGTCTTGAACATCTAGCTCTCACTGGCAAAATTGAAGACAAGCGAGGCAGGGGTAGTCCCAGAACAACATACTTAGGGAACCTAAACAAATGGGTAACAGGGGAAAATCAGGGAAACGTAGCTTTTCTGAGAGCATCCAAGCAAAGGAATGAATGGAAAATCATGATCGCCGATGTCTGTCGCAGATCTGGCACTGGATGATGATGAGGACCTTCGAATTTCAAGTTTATCTCTGATAGAACAGAGTGAAGTAGGTGTAGAGCCTTGACAGCTTTTAAAAAATAACTTGTGCTCAAAAAGGTCCAACGGACATTCGCACCAATGTTACCCGTAGTATAGCCCACCATGATGGCAACCTCGCCAAGGACACCCCGCCAGGTACGTGAATAGAGAGGAACTTGAAAGCTTCGCCAAACAGAACTACAAATCATTTGCAAGCGTTCTGGGTATCTTGTTTCATGAAAAGACTATTTCTGTTCTTACCTTGATCTTACTGCGTTGTAAGGTTGGTCTCCGAACAGAGGCAGACACAGCATGGGGACGGCGTGATACAGTGCCTCATATTGGCCGTTCTTCCCGCAATGGCTCACAAACACTTTGACCTTGGCGTGACCTAGCAAGTCGTTCTGAGGGATCCATAATGACGTCATCACTTGTTGAGGATTTGCAGACGTAACGTTGACTCTCCACACAACCTTGAGCTTGAGACGTAAGAAAGCGTTCATCATCTTGGTAGAAATCTGCTCTGGGATATTTAGGACATAACTGCCAAAGGACACCACAACTATGTCTTGGTCCGAGGACTCAACGAAAGATTTATACGGCTCTTTGAGTTCTTTTGCCTTACAAACAGCAGTTCCTCCGATACGAATCACGTTAGGCAATGTGGGCTGAGGGTAGTCCAGTATATGATCCTGCTCCACCAGAGTCACTTCCGCTTTCAGCTCCAGTTCGAACTGATTTATGAACGCCATTTCTGGGGCATACCTTTGCACTGCGTCGGCATGAGAAAAGATATGAAAGAATAAAACAGGTGAGTTGAGAACTGTCGACGTTAGACGCTGCCAAAAGTCCATGTGATCTGTGTATTCCTTTATCATGGTAGGTAAAGCACCAAAGCTGATCGGAATTCGGTCCATTGCTGGTATGTAGGCAGTGCCCAGGTAGGCAAAGGGGACTCCGAGTCTGTAAGCCAGAACAGACAGCGTTCGCCAGTATGGCAGGTTGTCCAGCACAATCAGAGACGGGTTGATTCTCCTGAAAGGAATATTTCGTAAAAATATTTAAAATAGTTTTCAACATTTAGAAATCAAATGCCAGTTTATAGAATAGTAGCGTACTTCTTTTCTTAATTATTGCTGATGCTGTTATTTATACAATTGTGAGGTTGATTTTTTTCCCTGACTGTTGTTGCTGTTGATTCTATTACTTTATTTGTGCTGTTATTATTTTTGCTGCTGGACTCTTCTAACGCCGTACATAAGTCAATTTTATAGGCAACATCAGAACACTGAGCAGTGAAGAGATATTCCAGACAGTTGAGACAGGGCACACAAAAAAATATTTCAGACCGGACTGGGATTTGAACCATTTCGATTCGCAGACCTGGTTTGTAACATACAGCGATACAGTAACAACAACAACAACAACTACTACTACTACTATTACTACTACTACTACTACTACTACTACTACTACTACTACTACTACTACTACTGCTGCTGCTACTGCTACTGCTGCT